GCGAAACAAAGGACCCGCATGGTGTGGTGGTGAACGCGTTACTCCCCGGAAAGGACAATAGCGCGTTCGTTCCCCACCATAGACACCTGCGGTCCAGAGTTTTGCAAATATCTCAGCAACGTTGTGGTTGTATTTCGCTTACTTAGTCATGTGAATGTTTTTAGTCGAAAATATTTTTTTATCTATAATTGAAACGGTTATGACTTTGCAGAGGTGCTCATGGTGCATCAAGAGGGCAAAAGCGTGCTGCTGAAGGAGGTGATGAACCAAAAAGCAAGAAAATCGTTTTTGAAGACAACGATGGAAAGGTGGAAGAATCTGCTTGTGAGAGCAAAGATGCCTAGATTTAAACAATCTCTTCGACTGTTACTGTACTTTTTTTTGTGAAAAGACAGAACACGCTGTCTTATTGATATGGTCCACTCTGAAAGTTTACCACAAATCTGTTGCTTAATTTTTAAAACAATTCTTTGCACTAGTTGTTGTAACGTTGTTCTATCTTGTTAATTCTCTTGGAGTCCGTAGAATCTAGAAGTGAGATGATATTGAGATCTGTTAGTAATCATCATGTTATCGTGTATTGTTCGTTCCATTGTGTTCTGTTGTTTTGATGCTACGTTGTGTTTTCATCTGGTTTACAAATTGCTATATTGTTGGACTAAGTTCATTTTTGTGGGATTTGAGTTGTTGATGTTGTTGAACGATGTACATTTAAAAATAGATTACATAGAAAACTTGAGACAACTGGACACTCTTGTTTCCTCGTTGATTAGGCCTACTATAGAATCATTCTAGTCGTACGTACGAGTTCTATTAAGTCTCGAATTAGTAATCATGACCTCATCGCTGTTTATCGGAAAGAGAAATCGAATAGAGCGTTGAGATATTCGTCAGACTTTGTTTTCCTGTTTTTCTGATAAGTAGACGAGAGCACGACAACGTGCAGTGCTACGCCTGATGCCGTTTCAAGTGTAACTGATGCGTAATTTCGCGTGTCACACGTAAGCTGTGGAACCGTGCCAGTCGAACTGATCGCATTTATGAGTGGCATATGCGCCTAATCGCGACAACTCTTTTGCAATTCTACCTGTTTTGAAATAATTCATTGCTACCGGAAACATATGGGGATGCGTGCGGATGTAAAGACGTCATGGTTCTTTCCCTATTCGTGGTACCTGCGTCGGAGAACTATCTCATAAGTAGCAATGTATGTGGCTTAACGAACGAACTCATCCGCAAAACACGCTGTTGTGTACTTTCTTTTAATCTTTAACTTTTTGTTCCTAACCACTATTACCCCCTGATTATTATTATTATTACTACTATTACTGTTATCATTATTATTATTATAATTAGTAATTCTTGTTGTTATTATTATTATTACCATTAATTATTACTATTACTATGACTATTATTATTATTATTATTACTACTATTCCATACTGAATCGAAGGTTTTGCCTAACCGATGTCGCTGTTGTCCCAAAATTCTACACGGGGTCAGAACAACGCCTCCGTCGTGCAAGATTCCACTTCTCGCAGAAAGGAGGAGAAGCCGCAAAATTCAAAAACGAAGCCCCAAAACCACCATAAACTGTGACTTATTCAATTCGCTGGTTGGCTGTTGGAAAGATGTCGTTGTTTGTAACATCGACGAGGAATACGATCGCCTCATTCAATATCTTTGCTTTAGCGTTATGAAAGCTGAGAGTTCGAAAGTTACCAAGAGACCTTTGTCTCCAGAAACGCTCGACCTGATACGCCAGCGTGGAATCGCACGAGCTGCTGCCAACCGCGAACTAACGTCCGAACTTGCAAAAACAGTGCAGACAAGCGATAACAGAAGATCGTAAAGAGAGAAGAGCAGCAGTAATGGTCGAAACTGCAGTGGCTGGGAAAAGCATTCGAAAAGCCCACCGAAGCTTCGCCAATTACAAGACGAAGATGATTGAACTCTTGCGCCCAGACGGAACAGTTACAGCGATCAGAAAGGCAATGGAGAAAATCATTCACGAATACTACTCGGATCTCTTGGATAGCCACATCCACATTCTGTCATATGAAATAAAGGAAGATGGATATGTTGTACCACTTGTTCTCTCTTCCGAAATCCGACATGCCATTTCGTCGCTGAAAAATCGAACAGCACCAGGTCCGGACAAGATGGGATCTCAACACTTGAGCAACATTCGGCCCATCCTCGGCAACTACCGCCCTATCTGCTTGCTGTCTATCGTCTGCAAACTTTTCACTCGAGTTATCTTAAACAGGATTGGTAGAACACTGGACGAAGGACAGCCATGTGAGCAAGCAGGGTTTCGAAAAGGATTTAGAACGATGGACCACATCAACACGGTAACAAGACTCAGTGAAGTACCTTGAGAGTACAAAAGACCGTTCTGTCTCACCTACATCGATTTACAGAAGGCTTTTGATTCAGTTGAGATAGAAACAGTTTTAGAAGCCCTTGATAGTCAAGGAGTCTCTACCCAGTACATAAAGATTCTTCGTGAGCTGTACAAAAATTTCACAACCAAGATATCATCATTCTACAACGATATTACCATTGACGTTAAAAGACGAGTTTGGCAAGGCGGTACCATCTTGCCAAAATTATTCACCGCCACCCTCCAGAACGTCATGCGAACATTGGAATGGGATAATATGGGAGTGAAAACCGATGGTCGGCAGTTACATCATCTTCGCATTGCTGATGACATCGTCCTTGTTACACCAAACAGCCAAGCGGAACGTGTGCTTGGCGACTTTGATAATGCCTAGCCTATGAAAAGATTGGTGTTCGACTAAATCTCACAAAAACGATGTTCATGAAGAATGGATTGTTTCGTATGCCCCATTAACGCTCAACGGAACGAATATCTCCGAATACCCCAGTTATATCTATCTAGGTTAGGAAATCAATATGATGAACGCTCCAGAGCTGAGCAGTAGGAAACGAGCAGCTTGGGGAGCTTTCAAGAGCATCGAAGATGTAGTGAAGAGAACAATGAACACACGACTCTGTGCCTCTCTTTTCGAGTCAACGGTACTTCCTGCCCTAATGTATGCGTCAGAAACCTGGTCGCTTCGTAAGCAGGATGGAAGCAGGACTAAGCGTTATCGAACGCGCAGTCGAAAAGACGATGCTAGGAGTATCCCATTTCACACAAGTAAGGGATGGGATCCGAATCTCCGATCTGCGTCAGCGATCAAAAATCAAAGATGCCGTTCTGTATGCCAAACAGTCGAAGATAAGGTGGGCCGGACACGTAGTGCGTATGAGTGGCAACCGATGGACAAGAGGCAGTAGTGACCGAAATCCTCGTGATGTCAAACGTACAACAGGAAGACCACCGACCCGGTGGTCAGAGTTCTTCACAAAGAGCCTAGAAGAAAGACATGATGCTCGACGAGTCCCTAGAGCGAGCAAAACCCATTGGGCTACTCTTTCACGCGACAGGGAAAAATGAAAGATTTAATGGCGCCCGCTCGAGTTACTCGACGATCAGCGGGACTACAGGTGATACAGGTGATTATTATTGCCATTATTATTATTATTACTATTATTATTATTTTTGTGAGCACTTGTGTGAGTTTGTCATCACTACCTAAACAACGAGCGATAGCTCAGAATTCCGCAACTCCAGGTGCGCCATACATTCAGCACTGGATGTGAGAGTCCCTCACCAAAGAATGCCTTGCTTACACACCTCAAATAGTAGTAAATTGGAAATATTGCTTAACGGAGGTGACTGCTGTTCAAAAATTTTTGACGGGGTCGAGCCGGCAGCTTCGCAGACAATTCCTACTTTTCAGCGAAAGAGGAATAAGCCTAAAATTCAGGAAACGAAATTCTAGAACATGACAAACAGATTTATTCAGATCATTAGCCGATTTTTAGACAAATGCCACTATTGACAACGTCAATGAAGAATGTGACCAGCTTATCCAATATATTCACGTTAGAGCTACAAAAGCAAACGTTCAAAAGTCACCAAGGGGCGTCTGCCTCCAGGTAAACACCTGTGCTGATGCGTCAACGCGGAATCGCATGAGCTATAGGCAACTGTCATTGCACGTCCGAACCTGCAAAACAGTGCGGATAGGCGATAAAAGAAGATCTTAAGGGGAGAAGAGTAGCAGTAATGGTCGAAACTGCAGAGGCTGGAAAAGCATTCGCAAAGCCCACCGATGCTTCGCCAATTACAACGTCAAGATGAGTGCACTCCGATACCGAGACGGAACAGTTGCAACGTCCAGAAAGCAACGGAGAAAATCATACACGGATATTACTCAGATCTCTTCAGTAGCCATGTCCTTCTGCCCTAATGTGAAGTAAAGTAGGATGGATATTTCGTACCACCATTTAGTTCTCCTTTTCAAATTCCGACATGTTATTTCGTTTGTGAAGAATCTAACAACACCAGGCCCGGACAGGACAGGACACATAAGATCTGTATACCTGAAGAATTTTCCGCCAGTCCTCATAAACACATTGGCTCGGCTGTTCACACCTTAACTGTCTGAATGCAAGACCCCTATTCAATGGAAGGCCAACAAAATTCTGTTATTGTTTAAGAAAGGTGGCCTTCACGACATCGGCAACTATTGCGCAATCTACTTACTATCTGTCGTCTATAAACTCTTCACTCAACTCAATCTAAAGAGGAGTGACAAAACACTGGACGAAGGGCTGCATTGTGAGCAAGCAGGGTTGTGATAAGGATTCAATCCGGTGGACCACATTTACGCGATAACAAGGCTCATTCAAGTATCACAGAAGTACAAAGGACTTCTCTGCCTCATTTTCAACGATTTAAAGAAGTTTATTGGCTCAGTTGAGACAAAAGCAGTTATGGGAGCCCTGGAGAGCCAAGGAGTCCGTACCCAGTATATAATGATTTTTTTGAGCTATATAAAAATTTCACAGCCAAGATCTCACCATACTACAGCGATATTTACATCGACATCAAAAAAGGGGTAGGGAAGGCGATATCACTTCGCCAAAATTATTTACCGTTACCCTCGAAAACGTGCGAATACGGGAACAGGGCAAAATGGGGATGAAAATCGCTAGCCGGCAGTTACACCATCTCCGCTTTCATGGCGACATCGTTCTCATAGCCAAGTGAAATTGGTGGAAGTCACTAGCTCACAAGTGGCGACGATATAGAAAAGTCTTAGCACGGCGTTCGAGGCACTTATGAACCAAAATCTTGAGGTCTAGTACACTGGTCTGTGATTTGAATGTTTTCGGTTGAATATAAAGATCTAATAAAAACTTTCTGCTCACCGAAATAAATAGCCTAGAAAAGAATGATGGCAGATCATGCGAGCCGATCTGC